CAGTCTTGCTCTTCCTTTGCTGTTTCAGGCAGAGGTCTGTGTTGCAGCACCTTCTTGGCATGCTTATTTGCTCTTATTTTTTCATTCCATTTCACTCAAATCTCAAAAGTTCTTGCTATTCCTCCTTTGTGATAATTTGGTTCTCTATCGTATTAGCAGTACTTTAAATGCTTATGTTGACAGAAAATCAAACCCTAGTGTTTGGGGTTTTTTACCAAGGTAAAAAATAGAAATTCTAAATGAAGTTGACCCTTGAGGAACACCCCCACTCGCAATATTTTCTCCATCCAAATAATTTGCTATGAGATGTCATTCTCATCTGTTAGCGTTAACCAAGAAATTTCATGGCAGAAAGATAAGCCAGGGTAACATGATGTACATTTGGAAAGATCTGGGTTGCATTTTTAGTTACGTTCCACTCATTGGTTCCTCTTGTTTGCACTTTCCCCTTAGAACAGTTGTTATAAGATACCAAAGAGCGTGGACTTCATGTTAACAGAGCTTATTTGAACACAGGTTCTACATTTCTTCTCCAACCCTAGGCTGCTGTCCCAGAAAATGTCTTATTCATTGAGAATCCTCATGTCTGAGCTTGCCATTTTGATATATAACCCATTTTTTAACAGTATGCTGGGATGGAAGCCGCTTCATTTCATTTTAGTAATGGATGTGGTAATTTTCAGTGCTTTGTCCTTATTCCCATGAGGTATTCTGTCTCTGTCCTCACACACAGCATTATTCTTAAAGGAAAAAATGATGCAAACAGCTAATTTGATTATTTGGTCCTAATTTCTACCCCTTGTTGACACAAGTTCTTTATTTCTTGCTCTTTATTTCTTGTTGAGAAACCTTTTGTTTGTCTGTGAGTTCCCGTTTTCCTGGGCCCCTGGCAATTTTAATTTGACTTCTGTGGCCTGACCTCTAAGTGCCAGCTCTCTTTGCTGCCCCATCCTTTTTCCATTCCTTCTTAGATTGTCTGCTTTCTCTTAATGTCCTGCTTTGAGGTGCATTCTCATGCAGGTCTGCAGCCCTTTCCTGTGCCCTTTTTTCCTTTTACTTGGATGGAAAGACTCAAGATAGCATTTGATTTAAAGTCATTCTGTACCTTCCATACACTCAAATCCAATTGTCTATGTGTTTCATATATCTTGGGAAGAAATTTTGGTTTATGGCCCAACAGGGAAAGGTGGGATTGCTCTTGAAATGTAAAGAAAACTGTTAGTTATTCTTGAGTTGTGCATCTGGTGAGGCCTGTACCCCCAGAAGGTTAAGGAAGTTTGAATTGCGTTTGGCAATTATTGTATGTTGTATAGGCTGCTTACTTCCAGATGTTTGCGTTTTTTTCTTCATTTAAAACCATGGGAATTAATTTTAAACCACCTGAATCAGAATTGTGTTTTTTCTTTTTTCCTGATGCTAGGTATGTTTATACAAATACAGTCAGTTTTGCTAGAAGGCCAATAATTTTGGAAATTTCCTGAAAGTCTTTTAAAAAAAAGTATGCTGATGTTTCTTTTCTCTTTCTGTTGGGACAGACCTGTTTGGCAGTTTTTCTTTTGAAAACCCAAACACATATGATGATGGTTCACGTGTGGCTTTCTCCAAGTGATTGGGAAAGCTGTTATCATGAATTCAAAGGCTGATCTTTGGAGCCACAGTAATCACTTCTGAATCTTCGTAATACCAAGGATGAAAAAGATGAATGAATTACTCAAGCGCTGGCAGTTTGAGCACACAGTCTGAAGTATTTATGTCTATGTCTGTGTCACTGCAACCACCTTCAGAAGGCTGTAGGCAGGACTCTGGGTTTAAGCCTGCGTTGAAGTTTCTGTGAGGTAAGGTAGCGTGTGGATTTACAGCCTGTCAGCCACTTTGTGCGTGCTATGCCATGAACACATTTGAACCATATGGCCAAGCCACAGAATTGCCCAGCTCCATGTGAAGGAAGGAGTCTGTGCAGATGGACACGATTGGGACACTTGGGTCCAAGAAACAACACAGGAACTTCATGTTTGGACTCAGGTCGTTCTGAGTTAGAGGTTGTAACAAAGCTACTGAGGACTTTTGTTCCCTGGCTTTGGATACCAAGACAGGGCTTCGTTCTCTGCCATGTTGATTTTGATGGTGTTAATCTTAGAGCTAATATAAAATTTAAATTACATTTATGAATTTAAATGTAATTGGAACCCCTCAATATAATTTAATGGTGAAATGTAGTAGTTCCGTCTTCCTTTTCCCTCCCTTATCCCCAAGGATATCTCTGAATAAAGTCCCTTCTTTGTCAGTGGTTTTTATTTGTGAATATCTATTTTATTTCCTAGGTCTGGCTGAAATTTCCAAAGTCTACCTCTCCTATGTGTCTTCGTGCTTGATGAGGTGATAGCAAGAGAGATTTTTTAAGGCTTTCAGTGTGTGTGTGTGTTAGCCTATTTCATATTTAGATTGCAAGATTTTTATAGCATGGATAGTAGTATTTAGTAACTAAAAGCTTGGAAAGCTTATTAATGGACTATTTATATTTTGTGTTATTTCTCCTTATTGTTTTCCTTTGCTTTAGGGAGATTCAAACCCATCTAGTGTCATTAGTAAATGTCTGAACATGTTCTTCAAAATGAGCTTTTAACACTATGACAAGAAGTCTGGGGGTTGTATCTTTAATCTGATGGCACTTTAAGTTGTTTGGTTTACTTTTTGACTTCGTGACGGAGTGATGGGTGTTTCTGTAACATATGGCACTATATGTTGAAAGTGTATGTTTACATCTGGTATGCATTGGAAGATTAAGGTAGAGAGGATGAAGTTTTGGGCAAGTATGTGTTTTTTGGATGAAGGATAAAGTGAGAATACTTTTATTTCCTCTTAGATTTGAAACATATCATTCTAGCAATGCCTTTGAAACTCTGCCAGCTTTGCCAACTGTAACATTTATGGGATTCTGGACCTAAACTGAATTAGAAAACTGTTTTTAGTGGCAGAGGAAAAGGTTAGTGCATGAAAATAGCTAGGCCTGTTATTGACTGCATGTGGTCAGTGGTTTGGCTGAACGTAGGTGGCTCTTTTCCTGTCACTGTTTTCAAGCATATGGCTTTGTGAATATAAAACTCTTTCAAAATGAGTTCTACTGCAGTTCTTTTGCATAGTAGTCTCTTGCTATTTAGTAGTGATTATCTTGCTTTTTTGCTATTGTAAAAAAAAAAAAAAAGGCAGCTTTATTTTATAAGGTTTATGATTCCTGTTGACATCAAAACTAAGAGGTTTGAAGAATGTGGTCCTCTGTGTATAGCACCTGCTTCTATCAGTAATATTTTATATATGTTGTTGATTCTTTATTGTAATTAATGCTGGGATTGCTTGTAGTGGGCAGAAAATCTTTTCACATGCACACACATTTTGTTTCATTGGTACTTTTGTGAAAATCTCCAATACTGAATTACATTTTCTCTTTCCTTCATTGTCATGTTTTCAGTCTTGAAACTAACATGCGTAGCAGCTTTTCCCAAGGTCAAATTCAGGTTTGCTGGTTTTTTACCCATTTTCTAGAAGACCGCTTGAAATTAAGATAGCTTTTTGTTTTCTTCTTTTGCTGTAGTATATGAGGTGCTACCTCAGAGCTTGAGGAATAATGAGTTTTCTAGCTCCTGCTGCAGAGGGAGTTTAAGGTCACAACAGGTTCTGTTTAGCTTTAACTGAAACAGTGTTACTTTTTTTTTTTTTTTACAAAAATCTGGGTGATAGAGCTGTAAATTGTGCATGCTGTTGATTGTGTAGATTGTCTGATGTTTGCAGTGTAGAAAATTCTAGTGAATCTTGTTTTAGTAGCTATGGGATGCAAGAGCTGGTTTCATTCAGCCAAGAGCAAGGTACAATTGGTTCTGTGAGATGCTGAGAACTGCAGTGAGAATTAGGGGCACCAAGCACTTCATGAGTTCTTCCACTGCTGTAAGGTATTTAAAAACAAAGCAAACCTGTTTACCCTTTCCTCATGTTTGGTAAAAATAATTCATAGAATTGTCCAAATTTTAGGGTAACTGTAAAAGAATAACTAAAGAGAACTTGTAGAGCTGGTCAGCAATAGTTGGTCATTAGAGAAGTGCGCTCTTGTCCCACAGGCCAGGCACAGTGAAAACTGCTCTGTTGCACACATGAGGCTACTTAGGTGATCACACCTTGTAGACTTTTAAGAATTTAGTTACCTACATTAGAAAAAAAACCAATTCTATTCAAAACACAAAATGTACTTTAAAAAAAATCTTGCAGTGTTAAAAAATAAAATCTCTAGAAGGTGTAATTATTGCAAGTATAGCCTAGAACTTACCCTAATATCTTTCTACAGTATAACATAATATAACTTATTAAGGTTATTAAGGTTAGGTTATTAATAAATTTATTTTCTAGTTTAAATAAGGTCTTTTGAGTTGTATTAGAAAGACAGAGCTATTGTTTCTAAGCATGCTTGGTGAAAGACTGTCGCTAAGCAAGAAATGCTGTGCTTTTATTCCTAAGTCTCATTGCAAGGGAATCCTAAATAAGGTGGATATAAGCATTGCATCCTCAAATGTTTAAAAAAGAAAAAAAATTGGAATTTAGATGAGTTTGGGGTCATACAAAACACTGTTCATAACAACTATGTCATGTAATGGGGTTTGGTTTGGGTTTGTTTAGGATTTTTTTCCTAGTTCTGATTTGGACTAGGTAACTGTTTGATGTTTTGGACAGTAGCAATTGTCATGATTCAGAAATGCTCTACATTGAGAGATGTCCTGTTTAAACATACTGCCTAACTGATAACTGTTGCTCAGCAAAAAGATGTGAAATATGAAGGTGATGGAGATGATTAATATGAATTCTGAACTGATTGGACAGTATCTTAAGAGAAAAAAACAGCAGAGCTAAACGATGACCTTTGGTTTCAATTTATGCAAGTTGGGGTTTTTTTGGTGGTCTTGTTTTGGAAAATAGTTACATTTGCTAATTCTCAGTGCCTTCTGCTTGGATCGTAGAGGTTGGAGACCTGAGGGAGCTGCAGACCCTGGACATCTCCACCAACCGGCTGATAACGCTGCCGGAGAGGCTGCACATGTGCCTCTCCCTGCAGTACCTGACTGCCGACCGCAACCACCTGTGGCACGTGCCCCGGCACCTCTGCCAGCTGCCCAGCCTCAACGAGCTCTCCATGGCTGGGAACCGCCTGGCCTTCCTGCCGCTGGGTGAGTCACCCTGCTCAGGGCAGAGGGGAGACAGGAAAACAAGCTGTCCGCCCACAGCGGGGAAAAAAAAAGGCAACAAATGATTTTCTTTGGTCCTTACAGATGCTGCTCATAGAGTTGTGACAGTGGTCACGTTGTTGGAAAATATGTTTAAGTAAACAACAACCAAGCAGCAGGTTAAAGTTTCATGTCTGTCTTAAAGCAATAGGTCAGCTATCAAATTGGCTTTATTTTTAGCTAACTGTGAGGAGAAAAAAGTTTAAATGATGTTGTGTTAATTATAGTCCTGTATAATCTGAGTTCCACCACTCTGCATAACTGTTTCTGTTCGCTGGATCAGATGATTTAACTAAGATTCTTCAGCTAGGGTTTAAAACGTGCTGTGGAGTCCCAGTACCTCCACATAAATTGTTTTTTATCATTAGGAATGTCAGCACTGCCTAATCAAGCAAAGATGGAGTTTGTGTTATGTATAGGCATCCATCAAAACTGCCATGGTAGTAGACAAGGAAAGAATGTATCTGCCTTTCTCTGAACCCTTTCAAAGTTTGGAAGTCTTGAAGCAGGTCTCAAGAGTAGGAGGTGCAGTCAGTGTGTGGTGGTTTCTTGTGGGAGGTGGGTGTGTTGTCAGTAAGCTGTATATTCTGTTGGTGAGAAGCAAGTCCTCTGCCCTGTTTGTTACTTTTTAGCCCTGCCACGGGCTAACCTCTGCTGAAGTACAGGCACACGTGCAGATCTATCCTGTCATTTGAAGAGCCATTTATAGTTTTTCTAGAATACAGTCAAAGTTTGGTGTCAATTAGGCACAGATGAACTTACGATAACCATCTTGAAAAGAAGCTGAAAATAGAGGTGGCTAAAAATGAGATCATTTCTAAATTTAATTACATTGTATGGGTTTAACTTAAGTTTTTCAGGACTAGGAATTTAGTTTTTAAAGAAGTTAATCATCTTTCTGATTTTCTTAGCATCTTAGTTTATATTCCTAGAAAGCGCAAATAACGTCTCCAGACATAGTGTTTTAGTTATGTCCCTACATAACTCATTATATAAATGAGAAAACAAGTTCCAGGATGCATCATCCAGATTCCACAGTACTCATTAAAACAGGCAAAGTAACTTTCCCTATTTTGGCAAATATTTTGAACTCCATTTCATGAGAGAGGTAGTTGAATCTTTTTAATTTTGAAAAGATAAGATGCTGTTCAGTAAGATGAGATGTAAAATATTAAAAGGTGAAAGTTTTTCCAGTCTTGTGCTAGTAGCTTATCTGTGAGGGAGCTATGACCTGGATGAGCCATAGATATGCTGGAGTGTTTTAAGTTCAAAAGGAGGAAATAAATCTCTAATATAATGACACACCTTCTTTTTTTCTTTATTTTTAGACTCAAATTCAAAACATTCAAAAGGAACTTTTAAAATAACAGGAAACATCAAAGACTGTCAATTGACCTTGTTCAGTAGTTCTTAATAGTGACTCACTGGTGAACATTTGGAGATAATTTGCTATCTGTGGATATGAAACTGAATCATAAATCCTAGAGTTCAGAGGAAAAGCAGCACAGTATAAATGTAAATGTTTAATCCTTCCTCTGAAGAATCGGAAGGCTTCAGAGTGGTCAAGATGTGATGAAATAAAGCAGAAGAGAGAATTAGTGCATTGAAAAGCAAAAGATTAAATCTATCTTATGTTGTGTGGGAAAATATTTTTCTTGGAGCATTACTGAAGTTGAGGCATAGCTGTAGTACTGTTTCTGCTAGCTGCACGTGTTGACTAACGGGCTTTTTGCGTGTATTCTTACATCCCCCTTCACTTTACTGGTTAATGACTGAGCAAGGATGTTAAATAACAGTGGGAGGTACTGTAGAAATATCTGCAAGTGATATTCAAGCAAGAATTGTCTTTTTTTTTTTTTTCTATTAGGGAGTTGAGTTGAAAAGTAGACATTTGATTTTTCTCCTGACAGAATGTTTTTTATTTTTCCATTAGACGTGTCTCTGTTAGAAGAAACATGTTTGCAACATATTGCTTAATGATTTTTCAAGTGTGATTTACTTCATGTATTTTATATGATGGTTGACATCTAGTATGCTAAGGAATCCCTTTTTCCTCATCTAAGCACGTCCCCTGTAGCTGCCCATAGAGCCTCTTGTTAAGCGTAGTGGAAATGTGCCTTTTCCTGTTCCTGGATTGATAAGTGTAAGGCTTATTCCATCTGTACTTTCTCAGCACTGCTCAAGAGGTACTATGTAGGGGTTTTTGTCTTATACATTCTTTTAAGTTTACATGCACGTCTTAAGAAAAAAAAATGATAATTTTATTAATCAATTTTACAAAACGCAATTAAAATACCTGATGCCACTTGCTGACTTTCAGAACTAGTACACAAACAAAGCAGATGGGTAAATAATAATGAATTAGTAATTTGTTCTGCAGAACACAATTCTTGGATATGTCAGCATTTTTTAAATTATTGTTTCTCAGCTGATGGACACTCCAGTTTATATTCAAAGAAACAAGTCTGTGTGGATCTGAGCCTTTGGGCTTTCCTAATAAATTTAAAACAAATTGTGTGTGTAAGTTGAATGGAAAACTGCATCCTGGACACCCCTCTTATTGTCAGGGTAGCTTTCATACTGCCCAGATAAATAGTCTTTGGAATTGTGTTCTTGAATGGCATATCAAACTACTCATAATTTTGTATCAATCTACTTAGAATATAAATGATCCTTTGGTAGCATTTTAACTGTAAAATTTTATGATGAGCAAATACCCCAGTGCCTGAAAACAAATACTGTCGTTAGCAGAAATTTGAATCTGATGACATTGCAAAAATAAAAACGATTTATGTAATAAAGTACAAATATAATTAAAATAGGCCATAAATTCTCAAGTGAACTGGCAGTACAGTGGATGTTATGACAGCAAGTAATCAGTGTTATATCACTTTATTGAGGGCTTATGTGCACTTTTTGTTTAGAAAATGGGTCTAGTAATTATCAAGGCGCAGTAAACAAAGGTCTCATTCTACCTCAGTATATGCTGCTTTTGTGTCCTTGCCCTCACAGTATGGTTAAAAGAGCATCAGTGCAGACACACAAGAGCTTTTGTTCCATCTTCAGCCATGTGGAATGCATATGCCAGGCCCTGAGGTTAAAAAAAAAAAAAAAAAAAAAAAAAAAAAAAGAAAAAAAAAATAGAATTGGGGTTTGTTCAGGACTCATGGCATTTGGTCATTTCTGGGAGAAAGATCTTTGATCTGGGAGCCTGGAAGGAGGAAAGTGGAAATGTTTTAGACACAGTACAGTGCTTGCAAAAGCCACATGAAAACCTTCTTTGTAGCTTTAGCCTTTTCATAGATGGACAGCTTCCTTATTTTACCAAGTTCTTCAGAAGCGTGGTTTTTAGAGAACTTTTGACAATATTTGTTGACTGATATAAGACATAAAAATTAATGTGGATAGGATACAAAGAGCTTTTTAAAGTGATGATATATTTAAATTTAAACTTTACAGATAATGTTTGAAACAGGAAAAAAAATCTTTTGGACAGTGGAAGATGCTTGGTTATTTAATGCAAAAAAAACGTATCAAAGGAACATTTATAGTTACAGGCTATTTGGCGTTGGGAATTGAATTTTTCCTACTGAGATATTTTGTCTAACATCCAAAAATTTGCTTTAATTACCTAGGAAATGCAGTCAACTCACAACTTAGAATCTAAACATAGCATAAGATAAAGACAGAGGGAGGAGATGAGCTGCAGCCTAACTCCCCCCTCAATGCATATGAAAAGAACAGCTTTAGGGCTTTTTTTGACTTGCCTGATTTTCAGCCCATTTGCATACATCTGCGTAGAAATGAGCAAGATGAGCTTCTTTTAAAAATCTTCTTCCTTTCTCAAAATTAATAAGTTACAGTAATATGTTGAAGCTGCCCCAGCAAGCCATAGTTTTTTGCTCTTAGTATAAGAGCGTTAGGTGAGCCATGCACACACTCTGCTTAAACTTTATTGGCTGAATCTTTTCCAGCCTTAGGATATTTTATGGTGGTACAGTGCCTCAGTATCACAATATATTTTATTCATTGTAGGATAACAGTGTTTTTGTTTCATCTAAAAATATCCCAGAACTTTACTAAGATTTTCAACCCTGCAATACAGAGCCAAAGTAAATAATCTTTTTGAGGTGTTAGCTCAAAACGATGCACAGCAGCATCTCCCAGCACTGCTCATCAGTCAGAAGAGAGATATGTTCTTATGTTCTTGCTTCTTTGGGCAAAAGAGTTGAGGATACAGCAGATAGCTCTGCAAACTAGAATGTCTTTGGGACAGGGGCAAAGAAGCATCTGGTGGTTGAACGTGTTCCCTGATGTCCAGTGACTGTTTTGAACAAAGCCTAGATAATGGTACCTGAAACCTCAGCAAACTGTTGCAGGGCAAGGGCCTGTATTAAAACGGGGGGGGGGGGGGAAAAACAAACTAATGGGGGGGGTGGAGAAATCACAACTCAGTTTTTCATTTTTCTATGTTAACATTTTTGTAAAAGGAATCTACTCATTTTCTGTTGCTATCATCAGTTATTTAAGTCAAAGATTTGACGATGTGACACCCTCTAAAGCTCCTCCTCAGTGTGAGCTTTTAAGGTTTCTGGTGCTTACAGCTGCATTCAAGTGAGTGACAGCTGAAGACATTCAGTATATTTTAAGATGGCCAAATGTTTGGGGAGGAATGCTCAAAATATCATTTGCTCTAGTTGCACTAAGTGGTGTCCAGAGCTCTTGTGTACTATGAAATTATTCAGTAAGAAAAGGGATTGTATTACCTATTGTCACAGTAGGGGATGAGAAAATTATTTCAAATAAAATTTCTCAATAGAAATATCATGGAAATATTTTTAATTCTTATTCTGTTCTTGCCTGTGATTATGAAAGGGACAGAAGCTGATTTCCCTGGTTGTCCTAATCTTTATGCGAGGTAGTTGACAGCTGTAAAGATGGGAAATGAGAATTAGTCAATATTAGTATTGTCTTGCAATGTGGCTGATTCAGCCAAGTGCTTGTTTATCTTGCTTAATTTCTATAAAATGCTCATAAAAGTTTAAAACTGAGGCATACAGATGACTTATTTTTCCATAACACAGTTTGTCTAGGCTGCAGCCGTCCCCTCCCAGGCAGAGGGGCTTTCAAACATTGCTGGCTTGGTACGTGCTCTGTATTGAGCACGCTTGTCTCTTCCTAATCTAGTATATCAAACAGCAGAGGAGCTCCAGATGAAATGGGCTGCCCAGATGATCCTATATGGCAGTTTTCTTGGCAGTTCAAAACACTTTTTAGGTTGTTCTTTTTAGTTCACTGTTTGGTTTGTCTTTTTAAATGTTTCAGGTGAGCATCCTTTTCACTTCTTTTGATTTCAGACTGTTTTACCACTGACTAGATCTTGCTGAGAAGCAAAAGTATTGTTTCCAGAATTATTCCTAGAAGCCTAAATTTTTCCTTTCTATTTTGCTCCATTTTCCCACTTTAATTTTCTAGACAAAATGAGATTATTTCATACCTATATACTCCTGTCTGGAAGTATGTTATTTCTTGTTCATTAAAGTATTGCTTAAACATGCTCTACCTGCCTGCCAGCCATGAATATTTAAACAGAAATAATGTAAGCAGCACGCCTTAAAATGTATTGATCATTTCCTTACAGCCACAGCTTTTTGTATAACAATCTACAGTTTTACCCTTGTTCATTTTCTTGTCTTCTGTAACTGACTGCATCACACAGGCTTGTTTCTAAGTGGTTACTGGTTTCATTTGGTTATGCCTAATGTAATCAAACAATTATCTTCTTGGAGAAAAGGAGGAGTGGGACAGACCACATTGGTTTTTATGCTTTCACCACTTTACCAAAGATAGTGCAGCTGTGATTTCAGTGACATGAAGTCAGTTAATGAAAGCAGGTTTGACCTTATGAACTTGAAGTATGCACTGTAGATCTGAAATCAATTGTCCCTTTGCTGCTTCCAACTGACTTTGGAGTTTGTTGGTGTTAAAATTATTTATAATTGGATTTTCAGGGCTACCGCAAAGGTGTTTTGGTTTGTTTTAGGAATTTTAGGTGGCATTTTCTAAACAGCTTTTCAGCTCCTCCACAATAAAGCCTCCACTGGCTTAAGTTTTACAACGAAGTACAAATTTTTGCTTGCTTACATGTAGTCTGATTACCTTATTCATAATTAAAGATAATTACTTTGTTTATAATGGTCACTGTCATCCCTTCTCCCCCTGACTTCTCTTCTTTTCTAACCCCAGATTTAGGTCGTTCTCGGGAGCTACAATATGTTTATGTGGATAACAATATTCACCTGAAAGGCCTCCCATCTTACCTGTATAATAAAGTCATTGGTTGCAGTGGGTAGGTATGAATTAATTCAGATGTCTTGCATACCTCTTCCTTGTAAAATTTCTCATAAATATCTTAATTATACAAATGATTATTTTTGTATGCATTTGTGATTGATTTGGAACTGATGTTACTTTGAGGGGATTACTACAGCTCCCAGGTTTTTTATTTTTGTAGTAAATCTTCTGTGTTAATTGCTGACTTTCAATAGTCTAATATTAAGCCATAACAGACGGTGCAGTTATTCTGAAGGAATTCCTAATGATAATGTAAGGTCTAATGCTGAATCCTAGCTGCATTTAAAGGTTGGCCAAAAATGTAGAATTTTTCATAGAATCCCCAGAACCAAAGATTGAACAATTTTTATTTTTATGTGCTGCAGCATCTATCTAATTGATAAGTTCTCACATCTCTGTAAGTTATGGACCATGCCTTGGGATGCCAGATACAGCTCCTCCACTCATTTTACATCCCAGTATCAGCTTCTTTTAGGTCTTGGTACCTACTAACTAAAATAAGTAACGTTTTTAGGAATTACAGATTGACAGGTTTATTTTTACATGCGGATTTTTAAAAATATCTTAGGCTGTCTCATGTCTGTGGTTAGGATGTGAGGGGAAAAGAAGTGGTCTGTCTAGGACACAAGCTTAATTCTTTCTACACTGACACTGACATAAATTAGGATCAGCACCACTGATGAATGGAGCCTTACTGGTGTAAAACTGATCAGAAGAGGATTGTCCCCATTACCATCTAATTATAAATTCCTGGTATGCTCGCTCTTGGCAAATCTTGCATTAAATATAAACTCCTTCTCTCCAGCTTGCACTCTGCTGCAATATGTGAGATGCTGAGTCTTGGCATTTTAAGGGTTTTCTAATATTCCTGTGTCAGCTGGTTGCGTGATATTTAAATACTTGCAGTTGGATTATAATTCTGCTGAACTGTGTGCAGTCTCATATGTCTACTAATTTTGTTTTTCAGGAAAAATAATTCTTAGCCTTAGTTCTTTCACAACTGATTGTAAATTATAAGACAGAAATAAAATTGAGACTAAAGGTAATAGAACCGTATTGATTGTGACCAAAACTACAATGCAGGAAATGTTCCAACACGTTTGGTCCAACCTATTTCAGGTGATTTTAAACAGCCATGTCATTTTTTTTTTAATGTTTTAATTCCTTATTTTATACTCAGAATAACTTTGTATTTGCACTGACCTTTTGTGAATGTACTACCAGTTCTTTTCACTGTCATTATATGTACATTGCTGGTGGGCTAGCTGCTGGTATTTCTGGCAGAGGATTATAAATCCAGTATAGAAGAGACAAAAAAAGTTGCAGTGAAATTAGTTCTTATAACAATTCTGTGGAATAAAAAAATGATAATTTTTTCCTTAATAATAAAGAATTAAAAAAATAATTCTTAGTAAGCAAAATAATATTTGTATTTGTGTACCAAACAGATATGTCTTTAATATTTTTAAGGAACATTTTCACCATGAAAAGAGCACTTGCATATTATTAAGAAACCAGTGGTTTTATTTGATAATATGCTGAGTGATGTTAAAATTGTGCAGTAATCATCATGTGAAGAACTTCTGTGTTCTTTCCAAGAAAGCAGTAGTAACCAATGCAAGGTTTTAATGGGTCAGACAAAGTTGAAGATCCAGGCTTTAGTGCTCAATCTTGTCATCCACTGGAGAATAAAATCTGACACGCTGCTGTTGCTAACATAAAACTAGATTTCTGAAAATAGAGTAGAAATTGCATTGTGTAAGGAATGAATCTCTGTCTGGGAACCCTGTAGTCAGACTGACTGTAAAAGGCTTCTATATAAGAGGTGATGATCTTAGCACTCAAAATAAATTTTGATCTTATTTTTTGCAGATTGGATTTCATATCTCCAGCTAGGTATCTGTCAGTCTTATTGAAGGCAGCCAGTAGGTGGTCACAGGGTTTTGTGTGGCTACCCCACCCCCCAGTTTTTTATTTACCTGGGTTCTTCCACAGCTCCATTTTTTCCCTGCTAGTTAGACCATCCTCTATTCCACTTTTTAACCACCCAGTATTACCTGTAGTTGAGATTCGATTCCCATATCTATTCTGATTTAAGGGTATATCTCTTGGATTATTCCTCTTGATGGTCTGTTTTGCTTGTTTACTTTGTTTTTCAGTGTTGTAGTCTGGCATTAGTAGCCTCACCCTTTACATAAAATAGACAAAATGGTCTAACTCTGACCTACAGAGACTGTAATTAGTTCATGGGTGTGTCTTCTAGCTAGGCTGGTAAGGGGTTAATCAACTTGAAAATACAACATTATAGATTTTTGGTGTGATAACTACTTCATTGGGTGTGGATTGTTTGAATATTTGACCTCTGAATTCCTAATAATATTTTAACTCAATGAAAGTTTTGTGGGAAAGTATTAAATATTTAATAGAGAGGTTTATTGACTTGTTGTTTGGTGCTGCTCTTTTTTGCTTGTTTCTCTGGGCTGTTGTTCCTTTAACCAGAAGAGATGAGACTGTTGTCGAGAGAAGTACTATGAGACTTCTTTCACATCTGATAAAGTCGAGTGTAGTTACCTCACTTCTAGGTCCAGTATCTGGGAAGGCTGACAAATTTGTGTTTCTATTCAGTTTGTTAGGACTGGCCCTAACAAGTTGCTCTTGGCTTCAAATTTAAGTTGTCATGAACAATTCTGATTCCCCTGTTGACTTCCCCAACCTCTTAGTAGAATTTTCCTATGCGTGTCTCTTTGGTATGATAGCTTGCAACAGGGATCATGTAAAGAGTTCTTATTTTTACTACAAGCAAGGTTTCTCTCCTTGGATCCAAATAACCTTCCTCTTCATTAGATGATTGGGAAAGGACAAGGCTAGGAGGCTTGGTAGGGTATCTTCCTACTACAGCTTAGGCTGTTCTTGTTATTTTTCCTTCACTTGCCTCACCACACCCTCCATGGAACTCTGTTGATTGGGTAAGGTATAGTACACAATCACCCAGTGGCACTGAAATGATATTTTTTTTGGTGGTTGTATCTTGCTTCTCATATTATAGTTGAGAAATCTATTACGCTTCTCAAATGGTTGATCCAAGGCACAGGAAGCCAACTGTTAGGTATGAAACTGCCCCTCTGTGTAAAATGTTTAGTAATAATGATATTTAGAGGCTAAAAGAGATTAGTTTGTTGACAAAGTAAAGGACACATAGTGCACTTGGTTCTACCTCTTGGTAGTGGGTTCTTATTTCTCCAGCTTTTCAATGTTATTTGTTAACTAAAAGCCTCCAGATGTCCCCTGACTAGCATGTCACAGAAGGTGGGAATCTATAGAAAATGTCTCAACATGGAATCACAGAATAGTTTGGGTTGGAAGGGACCTTTGAAGATGATCTAGTCCAACTCCAACACGTATTGCACTCTACAAGGAATCCTTGAAGGGTGCTGCACTGAACAGTCTCGGGCGTTCTTTGGGTTGATCATCTGGGTTTCCCCATAAAGTTAACTTTTTTTTTTTCTTCCCCCCTTTAACCACTTTCTAAATGTCTTGTCCTTCTAGCTGTGGTTCTCCAATTCAAGTTTCAGAGGTGAAACTGCTCTCTTTTTCATCGGGCCAGTTAACTGTGTTCCTGCCAGCAGAGGTGAAATCTATAGGAACAGAAACAGATCATGTGCTGCCTTTGCAAGAGCTGGCCATGAGGACCCTCTATAACACCTATTACAGGTTTATGAAAGGTAGGAAATTTCTGCATTCTTCATATTACAGAAGGGGTGAATGTGCTTCTCTGGCAGTGACAGGAACATTTCAAATAGCTCTTCAAAGAGCTGGGCAAAGACTAATATTTTAAAAGATTTATTTAATGAAATGATGTTTGAAATGCTATATTAGAACAAAAATGTCCAATATCAAAAACCAGATGTACAAAGACTACTTCTGAGGTTGAGTGGTGCTTAAAAATGGTTCCTCTCCTGAGGAATGTATAAAGAAGGACGCTTTTTGCAGGAAAAGCTCTTTAATGGAAATAGGAGATGAGAAATAGAATTCCTGAGGCAAGATTAGATGCATCAGCCAACAATGCAACTTCTTGCCAGGCAGCACACTCCTAAACTGGCAGACTTGTTATACATAAGGCCAAAGAAATGCTAGCAGCCCTTGGCCATGTCAGTACAGCGTGACAGCTGAGCTGTTTTAGTTCTGCCCCAATTCAGACTCTTTGCTCTGAAGTGGCCCTTGGCTCATCTGGTTATGCCTTATGCAGTCACATGAGTTAGCAAGATCTGATGGTAACCTGCAGATTCAGATTTTGTCAGATTGAGATGTTTTGTGACTCCCCCTATTCAGGGTATCGTGGGAGTTTGTCAGATTTAGAGGTGAAAGTGGAAAGCAGAGATGTGGAGAGTTACGATGGAAAGATGAGAGGGTTTCTGGTAGGAGGTCACTTGTACCATGGCCACTAGAGTGAATCAGGACTGCTGAACTACTGCTTTGCCAGGAGAAGCACTCAAGGATGTCTGTAACAAATCTGCTGTAGGGGAGAAGCTTCATGTTGGGAGTGAGATAACCTTACAAGCCTGTGCTCATAGGAAACAGCACTGCTTTGTGGTGAATGTATCTACTACAGAGAAAACATGAATTGACCATTTGCAGTCATGTGTTTTTTTTTATATTTCTCTGTATGGTGGGGAGAGAGGAGTTTTAGTTGTTTAATATTGGGACATCAGCTGCACCAAAATTACACAGTGATGAATGCGGTTTCATTTCGATTTGCAAAATTCTAGTCTTTGAAAAGGAGTCTGGGAACACCAGGTACAAGATCTTTTAAGTCATTAGTAACTACTTTTCTCACCCAGTTGTGACTTGCACAACAATTTCTGGAATCGTGACTACATGAATGTGGTTCCTGAAGATGCTGGTGAAGATTGGTTTGGGAATAGAAAAATAACATTGCAAAATCTGTTTAAGAATTGGTTTGTAGATGGTTTATACAAGGCTGTGGTGATTATATCTAGTTGCAGCCAAGGTGCAGAACCTGAAAAAGATGAAGCATGGTTTTTTAACTATCTTGCCTACTTCTAGTTTGCCACGTTGTACTAGGTAGTCTTATGTCTTCATATATAGTTAAACACACAACTTATTCTGTGTGACCTTATTAAAGACTGTGCATTACCACTGGTGACAGCCACATCTCAGTGAGGCAGGAGTAATGCCTGGTTCACACAGGTGTAAGATAATGGTGTGCTGGGGAAGGGGGTGGCACATGTGATAGGAGTAGCAGATGCAGTCTTTCACTACCTAAATTTGCAGTTTCAAGGGTGCTGTTAAATACTTGGTGGCTGCGAGGTAAGCATGACAGAAGCAACTGGATTATTTCTCCTCAGTCTTTGCCTGGCTGCAGAAGTGACCTTCTCTTTCTGACACAAATAGACTATTCATCCTGCTTGTCATCTCAGTTGAGGCTGTTGTGGTACACTGTGTATGGGGTTAAACCTCACAGTGTTCGAAAGCTGAGACTAGAGTGATATCACAAAAACTCATTTATCAGGTGCTGCATCTTGTCTGCATTACTCAGCACCTACACTCATTCACTTCTCTCAGCTGTCTCTCAGTTTCTAGATGGAAATTAGCATGGTGGGTTTAACTCATAAAATGCTATGTGGCTTGGGCCAGGCCTGAGAAAAGGATTGCTCTTTGCTGTGAAATGACCCTGGAGTCCCTTTTGGTGAAAATGATGGCATCTTGGAAGCTGAGGGGGCATACAAAGAGACTATGAATGTATTGATCTTTTTAGAGTGGTCTCTTTGGTTAGACCTGTGAAAATTAAGCTGGAATGGACTGTGTTTCAAGTAATTATAAATATTTCAGATCTCTTTTTTTGGTAATTGTGGGGTTTGGTCTTTTTAGTGAGCTTTGCTATCCTGTAGAATTGGTTGCTGAAATACTTCAGTAAAATACTAGTGATGTCCTGCTCAGAATTTTGTGTTCTTATTAGTTAGTAAATGCCTATCTAGATCATTGTGTCTAAAACCACTTTATGATGTGTTACTAGTTTTTATTATTTGGTTGAGCTAGATTTCCACTTGTTAATTTGGGTGCAGTTAATCTTATGCCCACAGATGGTAAACTTGCACAGTTAACTTGAACGTTCTGAACTTATACATGGAGAGCAGCACGTGCTTCACCCTCGTTGGGGTAATGTGTTACTTTGCTGTTGGTTTCACAAAGCCTTAAGAATGGGAGACAGCTGATTTTCTGCACTGCTCGTGGATCATGCTTTTTCTCTTTGATTTCATCATGCAGTTTTTTTGTTACAAGCTTTTTTTGTTTCTTTTCTTCTCTAGACTTGAACTTTCTGACTCCAATCTCGCTACCCAAAAGCCTCTTGGAATTGCTGCACTGTCCCCTGGGACACTGCCACCGCTGCAGCCAGCCTATGTTTACCATTGTCTACCCCAAGCTCGTCTACCCAAAGCTCTTTCACTTGAGGGAAACTCCAATGGCAGGATTGCATCAAGGGTAATTATACAGGAAATTACACTGGGGTTTCATTTAGGAAGAAAAACACCTTATGGAACAAAGCATATTCTCAAGGATTTTTTTTTTTTTTTAGCTTGGCAAGCTTTCAGATCTAAAGCTCCTGTCCTGTGATTGCTTGTAAAAGTTGACAAATGTTTTATTTACAAGGCAACCATAATACTGTTGTTAGACTGTTTAACAAAAGCTACCCCACTTGCCTGTTTCAGACTGTTTCAAGTACTATCAGTGCTTGCCCTGATGGTCTCAACACTCACTTCAGGAGAATGCCACCACAAAATAGAAGTGCTTTAGGTTTAAAATGGAGAAAAGCTCTAAGGCCAGAACTTCATTAAAATATTCTGTTGTAAAATACTCTTGGTTTTCTTTCCACACTAATTAGCTAGAGATACTCTGTGGAAGCATTCTGCATTGTGACATGCATTTCATAGTGATACATGTTTTTAAAGTATTTCAGTTCTTATGGTTTTAGCAGATGTGAATCCTGCAGAAACATTCAAGTTGAGTACACAAGCCTACATGGACTTCTTGACTTGCTGGACTGTATAGGCATAGAAGAGACTCGAAAATGGATATGGTTCAGGGAATATTGTCCACATGTAGATGAAGATTTAAAATACCTTCAAGGTGGGCACTGATAGCTTTGCAGCAATTCTTTCC